TTTTTTTTTTTTTTTTTTTTTTTTTTTTAATGTCTGCCAAGACCTAAATGTGAGCACCAATAAAATTTACTCCCTCCGTTTCATAATGATCCTGTTTCGCAAATCAATGCAAAATTTTACCCATCTTTGACCGCAAATATCTTTAATCTCACACTAGCAAAAATTATAAAAGTTAGATATTAATAATCTACTCACCAAGACGAATCAAACTAGATCCCACATGATTATATTTGCTCTTATAGATTAAGACAAATTTAGAAGATTATCTTTTTCTTAAAAGAGTCAAAGATTCAAAACAGGAACATTAACGGAAGGAGTAATTACTACTCCATTAAAATAATACAACTTCTTCAATTGTGTTTGACTGACACACACAAATTAATTATAACAACAGGCGTCAATGCGTTGGATAATGTAGCATGCCCTTAAACTCTAAGACACCCATTATTTTTATTATTTATATTATTATTTTATATAGCTAGGTATGACCACTATATCATATGCACTTATTGCTATTAACCCAATTCTTAGATGGATAAATCTCCCACAAAAAATAAAATAAAATAAAAAAATATATAAAAATAAAAAAATCGTAGTCAAAATTTAATACAAGGACGTACAATTTATTATTTCAACGTGTTGCAAATTGATGATCCAATTGGTGAACAAGTTAAAGTTGACTTTAGTTAGTCATTCTATACTACGTGAACAAATCAAATTTGACGAAATTAATAATACTTGTACGAAGTAAGAAAATAGTTAAAAAGTATTTTTCAACTTAATCAGTTGTGCCAAGCATATCCATATTTTTCACTATTAACTTTTCAAGTTAAGAGTTTTAATTTATGTTTGTCAAACACGCTTTAAATGCAAGATAACGATGACATAAAGCCATAAAGGGCAAATGTGAAGGGAAAAAAGCATTTTATTTACTTTATACTCGTACTTAACAATTAGGGCAGTAAGAACACCGATCTTAAGTTGTTTTAGAGCTATAGAAGGATTATAATAATATTAGGAGTGATTAAGGAAAATTTGCAAATTGCAGCCATTTAAAGTTCGTATTTTGCAAATTGCAGCCATTTAAATTTTTTTTTTGCAAATTGCAGCCCAAAAGTTCATATAAATTGTAAATTGCAGCCCGATTTAATTTTTTCATCGGTTTACATGTTGAAAAAAATATTCGGTTAAGGTTTTAAGGGCCATTTTAGCCCTTTAGCCCTTAAGGGCCCGAATTGAGCTCGGAATTAGCAAAAAAAATAACGTAAGTGTCTCATATTTACAGTTTTCCACAAATCGATACATTTTTGTTACGCAAAACGAGATACTTGCGTTACTTTTTTGCTAATTTCGAGCTCAATTCGGTCCCTTAAGAACTAAAATGGCCCCTAAAATCTTAATCGAAGATTTTTCATCTTGTAAACCGATGAAAAAGTTGAATCGGGCTGCAATTTACAATTTATATGAAATTTTGGGCTGCAGTTTGCAATTTTTTTTAAAGGCTACAATTTGCAAAATACGAATTTTAAATGGCTGCAATTTGCAAATTTTCCAGTGATTAATGATCTAAAATTTCATATACTATCCAAAAATGTATTTGAATTAGCCCTCTAATAAAACTGCTTCATGTTCATCGCCAAGGGAATCCATAATCTCCTTTACTAGCTCAAGCATAGAGCTGAAGTAATTATCAACCATCACATTTTGATAGTTAACCTTGGTTGATGAAACATAATTGAAACAATTACTAGCTAGGGTTGGTCTTCTTTTTATTTTAATTTTTAGTGGGAAAAATCCTACTAATATAAACTAATATCTCTCACAATTAGGTCAACACAAAGCATATAGCGGAATACAAATGGCCCTAATACTAAAAAAAAAATTAGTCTCACAGTTATTGTTTAGTCCATTTGAAAAAGTTTTAACTATCACAAAATTAAGTTAAAGCTCTACAATAGGTATCAAATCTTTCACAGAGCCTCAGCCAACTTGGATGGAACTTACAATAGGTACGTGTTTTTATCGTTCGGGAGAGTTACAATTCAGAGACTGGTTGCATGTGGCATGTACCTGCAAAACAACGGAGACTCCGGGTGTTCGGAGCTCCACCTCCGACGATCAAGTTAGTACTCGAATGTAAGTAGGAGGATGTGCGGAAAGTGAAATGAGATCTTCTAGGATTCCGAGATCAGGTGTTCTCTGATGTGAGAGACTGTAGGGTAGGTGTAAAAAATGATTAAATGTGTCGTCCCAAAATTGGGGGATATCTCCCTATTTATAGGGTCATTGGAGAACGTGCTCTCTCTTAAGTCATTTGACCTAGATTTGGTGGGCTGCGCCGTTTTGCAGCATTCTTGAGAATTGGACCTTGAAGGCCGCAATTTAGGAAGACATCTGAGGCTGATACGTGTCAGCTGGAAATTGGCCCAAATGGACCTGCCTATGCTTGACATGTGGCCCTCTCTTATTGGTCCACATGGACGGGATATTTTTACCCAAAATAGGTACTTTTGCTTTTTTTTTTTTTTTTTTAATTTTTTTTTATTATTATTATTATTATTATTATTATTATTATTATATATATATATATATATATATATGGTGTGCCTATAAAATATCCCGTCCATAAAGTTTTTTATTTTTTTTTAAAGTAATTTTGTCTTATGACGACCCCTTATGACCATCAATCATCAATTATCTATTGCCTAATTCTTGTTGCAACTTGATGCATTTACTTTGGCTTAGCAATTGCCGACCAATACTTCCGAGGGCTCGGATGACTTTTGTTTACCTTGTGCCACTTTATTTCATGATTTACATGGCATTGCACGTACATATCATATATATAGGGTCGGGATCCGATGAGAACCACCCTTTATGTGAGAACCCACACCTTATGTGAGAACAAATCTCAGCCGCTAGATTAGATGAAATCCAACTGCTGAGATTATAAGCCTGCCTACAAGCTAACTTTCAGCATCTAATTTATCTCTCCCCTCTATTCTGTCTGCAATTCAAAGCTCATCAATGGCGATTTACTTATCAATGGCGATTCACTGAGTATGCTCTTCTTTCGGCAAATTTCAGCGGTTTCTTTCTGCAATTTTCAACGGTTTCTTTTTGCAAATTTTAACGGTCGCAATTTCATCCGCCATTGAGGTTTGTTCGTAATTTTAATTTTGAATTGCATGTTAATCTGAATATTCAATATATTTTGATTTTACATCTCTTAAAAATTTGGAATTGCATGTTAATTTTCGAATTGAATTACATGTTAATTTTCGAATTACATTAATCGAATTGAATGTTTAATTGCATCAATTATTTGATTGAATTGAATCAATTATTTAGGTTTGATTAATTTGATAGAGATTTTAATAATATCAGATTAAACTTTATAGTGATTGAATCAATTATTTATCTTCTTATATTCAATCAAATTCAAAATGAGCAAATAAATTAAAATGAGCAAACCTAAATATGTATAATAGAACAAAGTGGATATGAAATGAGCAAAGTGGATATGGAATGATCAAAGTCATATAAAAATGAGCAAATTGAACTTTGCTGTTATTATGTTCTTATTTTCAATCAAATTCAAAATGAGCAAATAAATTAAAATGAGCAAACCTAAATATGTATAATAGAACATTTAAAATGAGGTAACTACAATTAAAATGAGCAAATATTAATGACATTCATAAGTAATTCAAGGATCTATAAGTTTTGCAAATATTAGCTTGTAAAAACACTAAGTATACAGAATTGTGTATGTACGTGTGTGTGTGTGAGAGAGAGTGTGTGTGTGTGTGTGAGTGAGTGTAACAGTGTGTCTGTGTGTGAGTGTGAGTGTGAGTGTGAGTGTGAGTGTAAGTGTGATTGAGTGTAAGAGTTTATATATGTGGGCATTGAATTGCATGTTCATTTGACAAATGAGCAAACCTATCCCCCCCTGCCCCCTCCTCTTTCTGCTTGCAATTCTGATTTCAGAAACTGATTTCAGTTATATTATAGATTATGAAATTATTGAGTGTGTGTGTGTGTATGTGTGTGTGTGTGTGTAAGTGTGTATCTATGTTTGTGTGTGTGTAAGTTTGTTTAAGAATCTGATTCCAGTTCTACTTATTAAGAGTGTATGTGTGTGTTTAAGTGTGTTTAAGGAGGTGCATATTCACAAATGATGAGCAACAACGAACAAGTTGAGAGTCAATCAAGTACCATCACAAATGTGCCAACTACTCCTACAATAGTAGTTTCTCCTAAAGTAGCACCTTTGATCACTCCTGGAGGAACAAAAGAATGGCATCCAATATGCCCCAATGAGTTGAAACCAGCTATAGGGATGAAGTTTAATAATCTTGAAGAGGGCCTTGAATTTTATAAAGACTATGCATTTTCTTCTGGTTTCAATACAAGGAAGTCTACAACTAAAAGACAAAGAAGAAGCAAAGAATTAAAATATCAGTATATCTTGTGCAATAAGGAAGGATACAAAGAAAAAAGAAAGACTACTGTAGAAAAAGATTTAAATAACAAGGAAGGGGAAAACAATGAAGAAAAATCTTCAATCAAAAGGAAGAGACTCGTTACTCGTGTTGGGTGCAAGGCACATATTGTCCTAAAGCATTGTGATGATAACACATTCATAGTGACAAAATTTCATGAGGGACATACTCATGCACTTTATATACCTAGCTGCAATGTATTCCAAAAAGAAGGAAGGAAAATGAACATTTTACACAAAAAAAAATAATTGTGAATAATTCTAAGGTAACACTTTCAAATTCTCTTATGTTTCATGAATTCTATGTATGTTCTAATAAAAGTTGTTTGCTCATTTGACAAATGAGCAAATAATTTTTTGCTCATTTGCCAAATGAGCATTGAATTGTTTCATGAATTCTCTTATGTTTCAAATTCTCTTATGTTTCATGGATTCTCTGTATGTTCTAATAAAAGCTGTTTGCTCATTTGACAAATGGGCAAATAATTTTTTTCTCATTTGACAAATGAGCATTGAATTGTTTGCTCATTTTAAAAATGAGCATTGAATTATTTGCTCATGTGACAAACTGTTTTGTTCTTTAAATAGGTGAATATTGGTCCCGTTACAACTTTTCGAATGGTGAAGGAAATTGTTGGAGGATATGAAAACATTGGTGCATCTAAGGAAGATTTCAAAAATTTTCATAGAGATTTAAAAGCATACATTCAAGGAAGCGATGCTCAAATGTTCGTGGATAACTTTACCAACAAAAAGCTGATGTGGAGCGCTTTTTTCTTTGATTTTGAGATGGATGAAGATTATTGCCTTTGTAGAGCATTGTGGGCAGACCCCCTTTGTAAAAAGAGTTATGCTCTATTTGGTGATATGGTATCCTTTGATACCACATACCAAACCAATAGGTAATTCATTTATGTGTTATTACTAGCTATGGCTGAAATTAATGACTGTTTTAAATAAAATTATTTTAATTGCTCATTACTTCTATGTGGAAATTGAATATCCCCATAAGTCTAATATTCTTTGATAAGAGTATGTATATGGGCATTGAATTACATGTTCATTTGACAAATGAGCATTGAATTATTTGCTCATTTGACAAATGAGCATTGAATTGTTTGCTCATTTCACAAATGAGCATTGAGTTATTTGCTCATATGAGAAATGAGCATTCAATTATTTGCACATTTGACAAAAGAGCAAAGAATTGTTTGCTTATTTCACAAATAAGCATTGAGTTATTTGCTCATTTGACAAATGAGCAATCGATTATTTGATAATTTTTCAAATGAGTATTAAATTATTTGCTCATTTAAACTTTATTTTGTATGTGTAAACAGGTACAACATGGTGTTTACTCCATTTACAGGCGTTGACCATAATAAGAATTGCATTAATTTTGCTGCTGGTTTCATAGCAAAGGAAGATATCGTGTCATTTGAATGGTTGTTCAGATCATTCCTCAAGGCAATGGGTGGGAATGAACCTAATTGTATGATCACAGATCAGGATCCAGCAATGAAAATTGCTATTAGAAGTGTGTTTAAGAAGACTGAACATCGGTTCTGTATGTGGCACATAATGAAAAAAGTTACCAGATAAGGTGGAGAAATCAATCATGCAAGAAGAAACTGGTTTCCTAAAAAAATTATGTGCTTGCGTTTGGCACCTTGAAATTGAACCTGCTGAGTTTGAAGAAAGGTGGAACAAGGTGATGATTGAATACCACTTGGAACAACATGAATGGTTAGGTTATATGTACAAGATAAGAGACAAGTGGATTCCGGTCTATTTCAGAGATGTGTTCCTTGGAGGAATAATGCGTACAACATCAAGATCCGAAAGTGAAAACAACTTTTTCTGCTCCTTTATCAATCCTCATGTGTCACTTGTTGAGTTTTACTTGAGATATGAAGCTGCAATTGATGCCCAGAGACACACTCAAGGTCAGATTGATAATGATTCAAAGCACAAATATCCTGAGTGCAAAACACCACTAGGGATAGAAAAGCATGCCTCACATTTATATACTAACTCTGTCTTTTATGATTTTCAATACGAGGTTGAAATTGCTTGTTTTTCTTGTGGTGTTGATGAATTGAAGAAAGAAAATGAATTGGAAGTTGCAACAGTAAGTGAAGGAAATCGGACTAGAACATTTGATGTTGTGTTTAATCCAACTAACTATGACACCACATGTTCTTGCAAGCTATTTTATAGGCAAGGAATTCCATGTAGACATAAGATTTGGGTTTGGAAAGCAAAAAGGTTTGAAACCATTCCCGAGCAGTATATGCTACACAGGTGGACTACTATGGCATTAAAGAAACCAATTTTTGACTTGGGAGGAAACCTGTTGGAGCAATGTGCTAATATAATAGACAAGAAAAAATTGTTAAATGATTTATGGTCAGAGATACACACTTGTGTAAGTTTGGCAGAAGGCAAAGATGAAGATATTCAAGACCTTGTGATAAATCTTCAAGGAATAAGAAAGGATTTGGAAGCAAAGAGGATTGCAAGAAATAATGAAACAACAGCAGGAAGTGCAAAAAACAAAGAGCAAGACATTGAGCTATTGATTGGAGCTAGTGTGCCAACTGAAATAATTGTCAAACCTCCAAAAGTTTCAAAGAATAAAGGGACTGGAGTTCATGTATCAAATGAAGAGACTTCAAAAAAGAATGCGACTGAGATTGATGTGTCAAATGTTGAAACAAGAGGTAGAAGTGCAAAAAGGTTTAAGGGAGAAAAAGAAAAGGCTGTAGAGCAAAACCAAAAGAAGAAGAGATTATGTAGAGGTTGTGGTGAATTGAGTCATCATGATATTAGAAATTGTCCAAAAAAAGTTTTACATCATTCAAAGACTACTTAAAAGTAGATAAAATCTTAATTTACCCAATTCCCTAAACCAAAAAAGACAAATCATCACTACTAACTATTTAATTCCCTAACATTCAGCTTTCTTCAGTCTTTTTCTCTTTCTTCCTTGAACTTTTTCTTCTTCAGGCTTTTCTTTTTCAGCATTTTCTTCTTTGTCAGCAACAGAAACTTTACTTTGCTTTTTCTTCTTCTGAGCAATTTCTTTAACAGATTGAATAGTGTTCACTTCACTTTTAATTATTCCCAGGGTGTACTTTTCACGAAGTTTAGTCAAGATTATCAGCTGCAAAACAAATAACATAATCAAACCCTATACAATTAAGGAGATTTCAATAACATGAGCAAACATGTAAAAGTAACACCACAAGTTGCAGTTGTAACTTGTAAGGCAATGGCCTACGGTATTGCTAGATTAATGGACCATAGACCTCAAAATTAAAGTAAACATTTGATAGGAATCCTTGCTCATTTGTCAAATGAGCAAACATTTCTTTGCTCATTTGATAAATGAGCAAGTAATTTCTTGCTCATTTAGCAAATAATCAAAAAGTTAATTGCTCATTTCTTAAATGAGAAAAGAATTAGTTGCTCATTTGTGAAATGAGCAAACATTTCTTTGTTCATTTATGAACTGAACAAGTAAATCCTTGCTCATTTGTCAAATGAGCAAACATTTCTTTGCTCATTTGATAAATGAGCAAGTAATTTCTTGCTCATTTAGCAAATAATCAAAAAGTTAATTGCTCATTTCTCAAATGAGCAAAGAATTTACATTATTTTTCTTCAAACCAGGATCCCACTTTGCACAACCCATGTATGTTTCCATGAGTCTCATCACTGCAACTCCACAATGCAAATGATTTTTATCCGAAGACTTCCATGAACCATTAATCACAGAAATTTCCATCCGCTTGATATCATTTTCCAAAATAGAACTCTGTACATTTCCTTCACATTGAATAAAGTTTGAAAAATCAGTTCTCTGAAAACCAAAACATCAAATAAGAAAACATAATAAAATCTAATCATTCAAGTAAAAGAAACAAACATAATGTGAACAGAGATTAACTTTTAAGCCATACCAAATGTTTTAAAAGCTGTTTATGATCTCCAGCATCTTTGTTATAATCAAAAAGCTCGATATTACCATTCAGTGTGGTAGTGTTAAAACATACCAAATAGTAATGATCTTCTTCATAAACTGGGAAGAAAAAAAGATGAATATCCTTGTGTGGTACAACTGATTTCATGTACAAATTCTCAGCAACCTCAAAAAACATCTTATTCCGATGGGCAACAGAATCTATCTCATAGTGAATAAGACAGTCCTACATGTTAAAGAAAAAAAAATTAATTACAACAAAAAAACAAAATAATTCAATAAAACAAAATAAATGAAAGAATTTGAACTTACGGTAGCACTAAGGTAAAAAAAGAAACGAGCAGGAGAATTTGGATCTCTAAACTGCTCATTATAATTCAGAATGCTACACCGAGCATTAATGATCTCTGTATCAACTTTATATTTATTATAAAGATTCTCAAGATGTACTCTCAGAATTTCAAGACCATTCTCTCCATTAAATACTGGTTCACTGCATAAAAAGAATAAAGAAAGTTAGTATGTCTAAAATAAATGGAAGTTAATGTACAAGATAATAAATTCTATAGATAAAAAAAATACTTACAAACGATTTTTATCATCAGCAAACATTGCCTTCAAGACGCTCATCTGAACTGGTGATAATGGATTGTAAATTATCATAATGCAGGACTTAAAAGGTGATCTAAGAAGCACTGATGGCTGAGGTTTGCGTTTCTTTGGAATATAACTCTTCTTTTCAGTATCACCTTTTCTCTTATGCACAATTAAAGCTTCTTGAGCATCAGAAATGAGATCTTGAGGATTAGCAATCAGAGCATCACCAACAGCTTGAGAAGCATCAGCAACAGAAGCACCAACTTGTGCACTGACAGAAGCAACTACAGGTTCAGTAGGCGCATTGCTAGGGGGAGAATTAGTTTCTTGAGAAAAGACTCCTAAACTGAATGTAGGAGTTCCAGATCCTTTGGCAAGTGAATGTCCTGAAGCAAATTTGAAACTTGAATCTCCAATTTTTTTGAACACATTTTTAGCAGTCCTATCTGAACATCCAACATCAGGGATACAACTTGCTATCTGAACACTTTCAGAAGCAATCTTAGTAACATCAATGGGTTCCGATTCATTTGGATGAACAACCATTGCATTGATTGAAGATTCAGCATGCTTTTTGTTGCTTGAAATCTGAGAAAACCTATCCCAAGCTTCAATTACTGCTGGATCTTGCCAATACTCTTCATCTTGGCTAAATGAAAGAGTATTATCTTCAGTCAAAGTTTTGGAGCTCATCTTATGCTCATCACAAATGCCCATGGCATCTTCCTTCAACTTTTGTATCTTCTCGTTGTTTGGAAAATACTTGATGGCAGTTTCATGTTTTTTACTGAAATACATGTATGCCAAGACCAGGTTTGTAGATGCTGTTGCAAGCTCCATAAGGCATTTCTGTAAAAAAAAATAAATAAATAAAAAATATATAAATAAGATAAATATAAATGAGAAGAGTAAATATGGAATAAGCAAAGTGGATATGGAATGAGCAAAGTCATATAAAAATGAGCAAATTGAACTTTATATGAGCATTGAAGTTTTTGCTCATTTGACAAATGAGCAAAAAATTAAGAACTATAATGCTCCTGCTCACAAGAAATATCCACATCTTTATCATATATGAGTTTCACAAGATTGCAGTAACCAAAGACCAACATTTACATAAAATACTTTTTCTATATTCATGACATGCATATGAGTAATGCAAAAGCACACATATGGCCACTTGCCTCTATGCATCATACTGAGAAGAACTCTAAAAATAAACAAAAAATTAATATTGGCTTCCAGAAAACTCATATAAATACTTTCTTTGGATCTTGTTCACTTTCTTCATTTTTTGTACGAATTGGATCAAATTGTTCCTAAAGACAAACATAAACAAAACTAAAAAAAAGAAAAAGAAAGTTAGAACAAGTTGAAACCAAATATCCTAACAAATATAAACCAAGCTTACTTATAACACATAACCAATTGCATAATTTGCTCATCTGTCAAATGAGTATAAAATTATTTGCTCATTTCAAATATGAGTAAGTAATTGCTTACTCATTAGACAAATGAACAAAAATTAGTTGGTCATTTCCAAAAAGAACAAAGAATATTACAGTATATATGGTTACCTTATTGGAAACTACTTGAGTTTCCACTTCAGAAGGAATGAATTTTTCCTAAATAAAAAACAAAAAAGTTAAAAAAGTAGGATAAAAAGGAAAAAAATAAAACAGAAAATTATAGTTAAACACCATTTTAGGCTGTGTCATGCTAGAAGAACCAACATCAAGTTTTTTAGCACGAATATTTCCAAGCCTCCCTTTAAAGAGTTCCAGTTTCTCACGTGTTGACAGCATAGCTGTTGTCCACCCTTTCAAGATTGGAATTTCACGTGCAGCTCGAACTTCCTCAAGTACAAATTGATCAACATATAATAACTACAAACAAGTAAGAAAAGAAAAATTAGTAAATTAAAAATCAACAAATAAGTAAGAAATACTACATTAAAAATATACAAAAATTATAGTAATACCATAAGAAACAATAAAGACCCAGGAAAAGAACGAGTTGGACGTTCTTCCCATAAAAGCTTGCCCTTCACGAGAGAATCAAGGATATACTTTGACCAATTCAAGTCCTTGATTTTATCAACATCAGAAAGAAATGTAAGAATATCATAATTAATATTCATGTTTTGTTTCCCTGACAAAAAAATGAGCAAAACAAAAGAGAAATGAGCAAATAGAAATTTAACTGAGCAAAATAAAATAGAAATGAGCAAACTAAATTGAAAATGAGCAAATTGAAAGTAAAATGAGCATAATAAAAATAAGAAGACTACCATCCATCAGTGTAGACACACAAAGAACTACAAAGTTCCGTTTGAACATAGCACCAGCTGACTTATGCTCCTTCAAAAACTCTTTAAGCTCCCCTATTTTGATAGAGAGTGAGTTGGTTTGGAATTGCTTTTTCCATTGTTGAATGACTTTTTTATTTCTGGAAAAATTATTTTTATCAATCTCTATGCCCCCTATTGGCAACCCAAGAACTTCATGCACATGGTCTTCAATAATACGGAAAGGATCAGAATCAGGAATATTTAATGAGCACGTCTTAGCATCAAAGTGCTGCACCAACCATAAACCCAACCGCAAAGGCAGTTGGGTCACCTTCAAAAACTCCATCGACCCAAATCCTATATCTCTAATTGCTTTCAACTGATTTTGTTAAAGTAAAACTGATTCCATAACTTGAACAATGGATGAGGGTGACATCCGACTATGCAATGTCCCATGAATGTGAGACTTCAAACCTTCCACTTCATTACCTGACTTCAAAACTTGCAATTCATTGCTGGATTTCATCTCCACTACCTTAATCATCTGTTTTTCTTTCTTTAATGTGTCCTTTAAAACCATTTTTCCTTTGTCATTAGAAGATCCTGTCTTGAAACTCATTACTTTATATTGTGGCTGTGTAGAACGACCAACAACTCCTAATTGTGCTGGCCCTGCCGCATCTTCATCACCACCAACAACTCCTAACTGTGATGCCCCTGCTGCATCTTGGTCACCACCAACTCTTAACTGTGCTGCCCCTGCTGCATCTTGGTCACCACCAATAACTCTTAACTGTCCCGCCCCTGCTGCATCTTGCTCACCAACATTAACAGCAGAATTTGTCTCAACAGATGTCCTGCTCAACAAAATAGGTATCCTTGATGTCAAATGAGCAAATACTTAGCTACTAATTTAACAAAATGAACAAAACTTAAATGCTCATTTCTCAAATGAGCAAATAGTTAAATGCTCATTTCTCAAATGAGCAAATACTTAGTGCTAAAATGAAAAACAAAACATAAAATGAACAAGTTATCAACTACTTTCAAAGCTGTGAAGAAGTTAGAGAACTTGTTTTTAAACTCAAATTCTTTCTCACTGATATATACTTTAAGACCTGATGTGCAACATAATGAACTAACTTCTAGGCTTCTGATGTGAAAAGCCGAACAGTAAAACGCCTTCTAACTATCAGTTTCTTGGCTTCTAATGTGAAAAGCCGAACTAAGTACACAACGAAGTTGGTAGCTTTGTGGTGACGATAGTAATAACATTGCACAGGGAATTTTGATTGTGATAATTTCTAAGACAAACAAAAGAGATGTATTGAAAATTACTTCCCATCTTAAACTGTTTTTTTTTTCCTATTTGCTTTCACATACAAGTATTAACCTGTGGCAGTTTTAGATGTATTGAAAATTACTTCCCAACATAATCTACAACTTTTTATTTCTTGTAACTGTCAATTAAAATTCTAATATTTCATAAATGAACAACAAAACATAAAATGAACAAGTTATCAACTAATCTACAAGAACTCCCATACAAGTAATACAACTAATCAACTAATCTACAACAACAACAAAAATAATAATAACTCAAATAATAAAAATAAAATGAGCAGAAACACATACATTGTATTTTCTTGAGGAACATTTGCAGAATCCATAGCAATTACTTCTAGGTTTCCAAAAAAAACAAAGAAAATGTAAGATAATTACTCATATGAAGCAAAATGAAAACTAAAATCAACTAATAATTACTCAAATAAAGATATAATCAAACAAAAAATAAGATAAAACCAGAAAATAAAACATAATTGAGAACTAAAGTAAACCGAAAATCAAATTAAAATACACAAAATAATTAAAATACCTAAAATCAAGCTAAAATGAACATAATAGCACAAATTATCAGTGAATTGTAGGTTTCCAAAAAAACGAAAAAAACTGGACAATAACGAAAATAAGCAAAATCAACTTGATAACTACTCAAAAAAACGAAAATAAAACTGAAATCAATGAAAAAAACAAAGTAAAACATTATCGACAGAAATTGATAAACAATGTGAGCTGAAATCAGCGAAAATCAAACGAAAATCAAAATGAAAATCAAAAAATGTAACTGAATGTGACCTAAAATTAATTGATGAACACGAAAATATAAACAATAAACTCACCTTGAAAAACAATTGATGAAGATTGGAGGAGTAGTGATGAGAAATCAGAGAGAAAAGCAGAGAGAAAGAGAGTAGAAAATAGTGAAATTGTGAGGAGAGAGGAAATAGTGCGTGAAAGAGGAAGGAGAAGAGAGAAAAAAGACAGTAGTTTTGTTTGACCGGGATTTAATTGTGGTCGTTGGATGTAATTGATCCAACGGTTATAATTACTCCTCACATATAATAGGGTTCTCACATAAGGGATGTGGTCTCATATGATCCCATTTCTATATATATATATATATATGGTGTGCCTATAAAATTCTATGAGCTTCACAATATTTGATGGAATTAAGAAGACAGGTCGACAATGCATAACGAATTTTTGTGACATCCTCAACAATCAAAATAATCTACCAATAAGTAAATCATACACATCCATCCTCTGTTGCATACTTCTTACATAATATAACATGAGGAGGTAACATTTTTCAAATCACAATTCAAACATTATATATTGGTTTTTTAAAGATTGAAAAATATTGAACCAATATATTTATAATTAAAGTATATGTATAGAGAAATATCTAACAAGATTGTACATTACTTTGTTTTTTTACTCATACTTTGTATTATAACTGAATGTGTAAATAAATTGTATAAAAGTCTAAAATAACATGTAAAAGCAATCAATCATCAATAATCATCAACTATATACTACGGAGTAAAAGATACATTAGCAATAACACATGTCATCTTCTCGCGTGTCATTAGTATTTTTTTAAAAAAAAATAATTTAATTGAAAATTTATTAAAAGAAATTATTTATAAAATTTAATTACTATATAAATAGCAGTGATATTTACCTTTATAAAATAATTCCAATGAGAAGGATCTTAAAATGAGAAAGATGAGAAGGAATCTTAATCATTCATATGAGCAATCTAGCGGTTGATATTAGAACAAAAAAACACGCTACTCTACTTCATCTCTCTCACCATCTCTCTACTGATCAAAGATCCTTGATTATAGAGCTTAGTTCCCACAAATTCACGCTTCTCTTCCATCTATTCAAGTTCGACCGTCGTCCCCAATTTTTACTATATATTCGTCTTTTCTCTCTCTTCGTTCCACAAGTTTCATGATTACATTTTCCTTGCCTTCAATTCTTCTTTCCAGTAGAAGGAATGCGAACAACTTCACCATTTTAGATCATATCACTACAAGAAAATAACCTTTTCGTAGCGATTATTTTAACCTTTAGTATCGATTGTAATTGCAACAAAAAGCTTTCCCAACGAATGGTCATTCGATACAATACCCCCGTTGCCTTAGCCTTTAGTAGTGGTTTTCAATATCGTTGGGGTTGGCCTCAATAATCGATACGAAAAACTACATCTAATCGTGGTGATTATTGTAGCGATTACAATCGCTATAAATGTTCAACTCATTTTCTTCAAAAAAATAAAAACATGCGTATGCTCTTTACAAGATTCGAACATGCAACCTTAAACTCTTATATTAAATGTTTCACCAGTAAGCTATGACATATTTTATGTATTCTTTGTCAAACAATATTTATATATCTAGTGTTGAAAAGGCTTTTTGTATCGATTTTTAGGATTTAGTGGCGATTGTAAATGATACGATTTCTCAAAATTATATAAATGTGTAAAAATAGTGTGGATATGTATTATTATGCTTTCCGTATCGATTTTATATGGGAAAACCATGGCGATTGTAAAAATGATACGACATCCTTAATTATTTCACAAACATACTTGCATATTGTAGCGAATGAACAATCGTTACGAAAAGTGATTTTTCTTGTAGTGTATCAGATTTTCATTTTGAAGCTCCCCGCAATGATCGCCAATGAATGTTGTTCCACAACTATTTAATGGAAATAGATCGAGGATGAGAGAGAAGATAATTAGGGTGTTTTTAGGTGAATGAATGAGAAAACTAAGCAACTAAATTAAATCTAAAGGATAACTTGAAATGTCTATTGGAATTTGTGCACTCTCTGCCAAACTATTCTAAGGTGAATGAATAAGATGAGTAAACAATATACATATTTAGATGTAAATTTATGCACAGTTTGTTAAATTTTTATGCACATCGAATATAAATCGAAAAATATATGCACATTCAATTGAAAAAAAATAATTCCATATTCAATATAATCACATATGCATATAAAATCCTTCTCATTTTAACAAACTTCTCATATATATATATATATAATTCGGATTAAAACCGAACCGAACCGAAAACCAAACCGAATTAGTAATTCGGTTTGGATTTTTTTGAATTCGGATTGGATCGGATTGGAAAAATTAAAAAATATGGATTACGGATTGGATTCGGTTTGGGGTTTTAAAAAACCGAAAACCGAATTACAAACCGAATTTTAACCTAATACTTTAAGCCCATTTTCTTTTTCAAAGTATCCAACCACTTTCCCCTTTCATATATAAACTTAAAAAAAAAAAGAACCTAATTCTCAATTCTCCTTTCTCGATATCTTAATCTCTCACAAAGAATGTAGTTAACAAGAAATGATTGTAGGAATTTTCGGGTAAAATTTGAGTTTCGGATTTGAATGTTGCAAAAGAAGGGAACAAATTTCGGTTTGGATTGGATTCTAATTTGAAAAACCGAATTAATTTGGTTTGGTTTGGATTGGATTGAATCTTAATTCGGTTTGGATTCGGATTGAGATTTCCGAAACCGAATTAATTCGGACTGGATTCGGTTTTGGCTATAATCCAAACCGCAAACCGAACTTTCACCCCTATAATATTAATTCGGTTTCGGAAATCTCAATTCGAATCCAAACCGAATTAAGATTCAATCCAATCCAATCCAATCCAAACCAAATTCACAACTTATTAATTCAAAAAAAAAATCATGTTATAAATGAAATATATTTAATATGAGTATATCTTTTTAAAACGCCCAAAATAGTATATGAGACTAACATTATGAAACGGAGAGAGTATATACGAAGTAATAAAAGTAACTATGATCATGTTTTGAGATAAGGCCACCCTAAATTTGTTGTATATACCGAGTATATCTTTATTTACAATATATCTCGATCACTAACTTACTTAGAAATTAAAGATACTCCATAATATGATAGCACATTAGTACTAAAATTTAAATGTCTGGCGAATTAATAATGCCGTCATAATGTTAATAAACAATAACAATGAAAATGATATAATGCCTAGATTAACAAATGAATCAGGAGTCTTATTATTCGCATGCACTACGATAAATAATTATCCCACAAATAACAAATGGTCTGCCCTAGTTACAACAAGCTAAGATTATTATGCTTGTTGACTTAGTCCTACTAAATAAAATCTACGTTTTAATCTAAGAAAAATTCCAAGGAATATGAAAATGAGGATACCCTTTTTAATTTTCATTGTCCTTAGAATTTTTCTAAGAAAAAAAACTTTCAATAATAACAATAATAATAATAATAATAATAATAATAATAATAATAATAATAATACCAATAATAAATTCCTCATTCAAAATCAGCCGTTTCTTGCAAGGGCATATCAATAAGATCATGAACTTGGCTTTGTGGTCCACAGTGTTGAATTGAACAATCGTCAAACAACCATTTCTCTAGCACGGACAACGTGCCTCGACCGCCATCACTCAACGGCTTGCTTTCGTGCTCGAAGAAGCTAGCCTCCTCCGGAGACACTGTCTGAGAGAAATCCGAGTATGGAGATTCACTCGATTCGATTGTACCAAACAAAGAGTGAAACGCCTCATTTTTCGAAAAATTATGATCACTTGCAACTTTAGGCTTTTGTTCATGGCCATACTCAACCTCCATTGTGCTACTAAGAGAGTGATGATCCGTTGACACCGAGCTCGATTGCTCTTTCTTAGGGGACTTCATGTTCCACCCTTGTAGCAATCGCGCTATATTCTCAGTACTCGAAGCATAGATAGATGATGCCGTTTGCCCTTGCTTACTACTATTATTATGGCTTGTATTCAAGCTAATATTTTGTGATGAGTTCATCATATCAGGCATATTCGAGGTTGGTTTTTGATCCATTGTTGAAAGGGCATCACATAAGGCTTGTTTCGCCATGTGAATATCGGTTTGAAGCCTTCTTTCCCATTGACCTCGACTATTCGAACTCTGATTTTCAGGAGAAGAAGGTGACGAAATAAATCCATCTGATCTCGAGCTTTGATGATGATTATTATCCGATTGTTTCTTTTTTAGCTTCTTTTTCAGATGGGTGTTCCAATAATTTTTTATATCGTTGTCTGTTCGTTGTGGAAGGTATGATGCTATTGCAGCCCATCTGTAACACGAAATTAATCATGGTTAACATACGATTATTCCTCGTAAATTACATGAAATTTAACAAATAATCATGTTGATATTGTAATTTAAATAATGTAAGTTGATACTCAAGTATATGTGACAATTCATATTTGATGGAGTAATATAGGAAAGGGACACTTTGTTGTGTATATTAGTGAGAGAATCTTGCTACTATATGATGATCATTATTGCACAATTATGTTTAAGGCCACCACATTCAATATTCACATGTGTGGTCATAAAAAAAATGATGGATCTAAAAAAGAGTACAATTATACTTGTAGTTTCATTAATGATATATATCCTGCCTTAGGTAAAAACACAAAGTAATTATGCTTATTTTACTCTAGATTACTTTTACAATTAAGAATAAAAACTACTATATTAAATAAAACCTATATAACTTATACACCTTTCACTAGATATTGTTTTATTTTTTTTGAAATCTGGAAAGGTTCTTATGACAATGTAATACGATGATCACTTAATGATCACGAAACATATACGGAGTAAGAAAGAACATATTCTATAGAATATAACCTTAGACATTTCAATGTGTAATTTAAAAATATTAGGGAGTAACTTGAATTTTTTTAACGATCTTGCTAACGAGCGCCGCGGGGCGTTAGATAAGGATAAATTATATTGGTTGAAATGGTATTAAGTTAGGAATTCATGACAAAATTACGCGTCATTCATTAATACATTTTTTTTTAATTTTTGAAACCGTGTTCATTAATACATACTTGAACATATTTATGTTTAAACGTGTTCATTAAAAACTGTGTATTGGATGTAACATGGAAAATTAAAAAAATAAATAAATAAATGGAGGGATTATTAAACTAAATCATCCAAGCTGTCATGTCATAATTTACCGTAATTGTGGATGGCATGTGTAGGGCCAAATCATTTAATAAGTTTGCTCTTAGGGGACCTCTACCCTAATGCTAACATGCCAAGTCAAGTGTACACAGTCTTACCCTAACAAGCAAAAAAATATTTATTTCTTTTTTCCGATTCTACATTTAATAATATCCATAGATCTATTAAGGAAATATTATCAAAATTATTGTACTTAGATAGATTAGCTAGTTTTTTAAATTTCAACTTTCGACTACTTTATTAGTCACTAAAAGACTTTTTCTGATGAGACAATCACCGTCAAAATAAGAACTTTTGGAGATACGAGAGGTAATATAATACAAACCAACTAGAATTAAGCTCTATTAATTGTGTTATAGACCTGTAATTAACAAATGGACAGAAGATTAATTACATTAAGAAGATTGGGAATTGGAGTTTTTGTTTTTTTTTACCTATTTCCAAGAAGAGCTTGAAGATGGATGATCATCTTTTCCTCTTGATCTGTAAAATTGCCTCTTTTGATTCCTGGTCTTAGGTAGTTTGTCCATCTCAGCCTACAACTCTTGCTACACCTAAGTAACCCTAAACAAAATAAAAACACACTTAATTAGTCAATAATTTATAGTATATCAAACAAAAACTAATTTTATGCTCAATGTGTTACAGATTAATTTATTGATATTTGAACAAATCAAGCAATATGAAAGAAATGAGATCTATTGCCCTACATCAAAATCTATTGTATTGATACAATTAAGAACTTAAGACATAAAGATACTGTTTTTTTTTTTACTCAAACTCCAATCTTCATTTTACTTCAAATACCCGTTTTGAATTCTTGACTTAGACACTAAGACATGGGTAATGAACTAATGATACTCAAAATCTAACACTTGTATACTTATAAAGTAGTCAAATCTAACACTTATGTACAAATTAATACCGGTGTCAAACACAAGTACTCGAGTTCGAGTAGAGATCCAGTAACATAGAAGGAAAAAAGGGTTTAGGCAACAAATGATTAGATCCTAAACCCTAATCTTGAAATTAGACTTTATCTAGATAATTACAATTTACAAGTAAAATTCATGGAGTAGCAACATCTTAGTGTGCAATATACATCTCCTTACTCTATAACTTCTTGTTATCAAGACAATAATTGTCTCACAAAAACTTGAAAACAGGGAAAACTTTTAGACACGAAAGGAGTACGATTTAAAGAAATCGAAGAAAAAAGTATACCTGTATCAGTAGGAACAGCCCTCCAATTACCAGGACCATGTTCTTGAATATAAGAGACTAACAAGATATCTTCTTCAGGAGTCCAAGGTCCTTTCTTAACACCTTCTTTATCACAACATGGAGGTCTTCCCATTTCACAATACACTCTTAGCTTTAAGCTTTAGCTTTATATTATGTATGTGATTATATATTCAAAGTTTATGATATAAACTCTTATTTGAGTTTTATCTTGAAGTGGTGAAGCAAAGGTGCAAGTACTTTGGTTAAGCTTAAACTACATAAATAGAAAGAAGAGAAATTAGAACTACTTAATTTGTTTAAGCGAGGAAATGAAATAATGGTGATCCAAGAGAGAGAGAAAGAGTGAGGTATTAATATAGGAAGCAAAAGCTTTAGTGGGGGTCCAAGAAAGAAATGTGATGAGAGTGGAGAGAGTCAAAAGATGGCAGCAAATTGCATTTACTAGTCGGCTGGATTTCAAAATAAAGCTTACAAGAAGGGTAAAGTTATTATTGAACAACTAGGCTAATCAATTGTCACCTATGACCTTGTCAAATAGACAAATACTCTCAATATAATGGTTCTATAATAACTACTACTCGTATAAGATTTTATATATGTAGTGTTACTGTGTTAGTTGCATATATGCGTTTATTTTTGAACAACTTGTAATAAGCTTGGTTAAAGCTTATTAGTTTAATCTCATTTAAATTGGACAAATTTGAACTATATATAATATAAGGCTTGTTTACTAAACAAGAATTACTCAAAACATGTCATATTCCATTTATTTTGGGGATTAACTTACAAAGCTCTTCTTATCATCCATTTAGAGCTCATTGTGAAATGTATATATTTTTTTCATTGCTTTGTACCAAAACATTTTTGCTAAACCGAACTTACTTAAAGGTAATTCGAGCTCAAAATACACATGAAGAAGCACAAGCTAAGGATGAGAAAGTTTTTTACAAAACACCACCAAGCTCATAACGTAAAATAATATTAAAAGCGGCAAGCTCATCAAGCGAGCTCGAGCATGATCAAACACCAATATTTCTTACCAATTAAGCTCAAGTCGAACATGCAATGTTTAATTTGAAACCCGACCTATTTATATGTTTGTTAAAGTCAACTAGTTATCGGTTTCATGCCATTTATTATAAGCTTATATACTTGATTTTTTCTAGATAAATATAAATATAGATACACAAATTCTTATACTACGTATATAGTTGGCCACACAGTGTGGCCAGCCATTGTAGGGGTTCTTTCGTGAGTGTAATAGAGGTTACTTGGTCAGTATTAAGGGAGTTACTCAGTCAATGGTGTAGGGGTTACTCGGTCAATGTTATAGGGGTTATTTCGTTATTTTTTTTTAAGTGGTCACATGACTTGGCTAGCCACACACAAGACGAATTGATATAATATTGGTTAATTTGCTATGGAAGTGTAAATTAATTAGGCAACAAGGGTTAGCAATCAGCCTCCATTTCTCTTTTACCATTCTTATTGGCTAGATTTAAAATTTTGAATGGTAACTAGGGCAAAATAAAGATATTAAATTAAACAAGGAGGCTAATTAATGGTCACCCTTTTCCGGCCTTGTGACCTCTTCAAATACTCTCTATGTTACTACTCTATTTCAACTATCTTCTTGTAAATACAAGTCAACTAGTTTACGTCTCATGCAACACGTAATGTATTTATTCTTATTTTTGTTTTTTTAAAAAAAATACTTTGTTGGAAAGGGTTAAAAAATAAATAAATAAATAAATAACCCACAAGCTTCAATATTCAACCTCTATTTTTCTTTTACTACCTCCGTTTCATATTTTTTTGCAACTTTGGAATATTTTATGTCTCACAAATAATACCCATAAGTTACAAAAAACATGAAATGGAGGTAGTATTTTGATAGCAAGTAGCAAAGAAACAGACTAATGAAAATGAACTGTGAAATAACCCTAATGTCTGCTGTTAGTTTGTCACACATATTTTATTGTTAAAGAATTCTGTTGCAAATCTTTGATAACACTGAAAAGAAATCACCAATCAATTAAAAGACATACCCTTAAATATTCTATTAAATGTTGTAAGAGAAAAATAAAGAAGAGGATTTAATTTAATTTAAAAGCTTTCAATATATATAAATGCTGCATTATTTTTCCAGCAAAACAATTTTATATAATTGAAACAAATATAAAATGTTGTAATTTAATGAAATGAAGGAATCATATATTACAATTAATCTCTATTATTACTATTTGTGTGTGCCTCAGAAAACCGCGTGGCATTCAATATGGTTTGCATTAAATAGCCCCAATGGCTGTGCTGGACTGATGATGTATTGTTGTTGCATGTTTTCATAAGAAATATACTCCCTTCATCACTTTTTAATCTTTACGCATTGACCTTTTTCTTCCATAAAGAGATTCCAAATATAAAGATTACTCGTAAAAAGTAACGAAGGGTACATTTTAAATTTTTTCACCATATCCTTTTTTCATTATGATGTATTCCGTACTTAATACATTTTACATTTGCATATAAACATTAAATAAATTTTTTACTGTGTATATCATCATAGGAAAATAATCATGATTCAACTGCTGATATTATTATTGTTTAATTATATATTGTATTGTATACAAAGTAAATCACAAGCAAAGCAGGTTAAAAAAAAGGTCCACATATTATACATGACAAAATCATGCACCCACATTATTATTGTTTATCATTCTTAAGCTTTTCGAATTTCATATTTTTATACTTATGTAATGTAGTAAATTAGAGATTCTAGCAAACTTAGAAATTTTTTCATGATCAAATAAAAAGGGGGAAGAAAGGAAAACGATAAATGCAGTATCCTTAGGGTTGCATTTAGAAGATTAAATAGATATGATCTATATATATAACAAAATTTTAAGTATCGTACAATGATATTAAGAGTATAATAATTCTTAATCTTTTCTTTTTAATCTTCTTAGATAAATCCCTAAGAAAAGAACTGCATATACCATTTTCCATTTATTTCACCGTACCATTTTATTAATTCAATTATGATGAATATAAATTATGAATACCTAAGCAAGGTACTTTAATTAGTGTACTAGATAAGTATGATGAATATGTGTAGTAAAAAAAGAGAACAGATAATGATGTGGTACCAACTATGGAGTATAGTAAGCTAGCATTGAAAGCTTGTTGTTTTATGCCGTAATTAACAAGTCCAAAACATTTCATCAATTGTTGATGGGTGTACACTGCATTTAGGGAGATTGCCAGTACTGTACGAAATTGTAATGGTTCTCAATGTCAACCCTGAAACATGGCATTCATTATCTTAACAAAGTAAACTAATTAAGTTCCCGGTTTACCTACCCAATCCAAGGCTTGAGATTTTACATGCATGCATACATATCCCGAACTTATTAGACTTTGACTAATCTGAACTCAAATTAGTCCAGACTCCTCGAGAGAGAAAATAAAACTAACCCTAGTTACCTATTAATGTTATTTGTTGCTTACTTGCATTCTTTAGGCTCGGCTCAAGTTCAAGCTTGAGCTCTCTTATTAAGGTGTAACAACTCTCTTATCAGATTACTCGTTCATTTGATCCAGTATAATAGTTGACGTGTTGTATTTGAACAACGCCACTGCACACTTTGAATTTCATTAAGAAAAACTTCATTTTGGTAGGGGTCTTGTACTCTTGTGAAGTAATTCTGTCAGCACTCAGCAATACTAATCAATGTTATCCATAATGGTAGAGAGGGAGCTCTAATAGTAAATTGACTTTCACTAGTCACTACTATAGATAAAAAAAAAATGTTCAAATTTTGTGGAAGAGCTTACCGACAGTGTATAGAACCTTACTGTTTTTTAAAAATATTTTTCCAATAAAATTTACCTTGTATTTAGTGCATCTCTAAATAAATTATTCAGAAAGCAACCCATCACATAATACTCGTACTCCCTCTTTTTTCTCCAATTTTTCTTTTATTTGTTACGAATTATATTTAGACTTTTACAGTCTCTAATGCACATTTTTAATCATGAATATGTATAATTATAAGTAATCGAATCTAAAAAGTAACTACAGTACATGACATATTTTGACGTTTACAAAAAAAATAAAAAAATAAAAAAAATTATAGTCAATATTCTTATAGTCAAAATTAACCATAAAAGTCCAAATGCAACAATAAAAAAAAAAATAAATAAAAATAAATAAATAAATAAATCAACGGGAGTTGTTTTTTTACTCAAATGAGGAATAATTTGGGTACAAAAAAGAAAAAGAGAACAAAACTGAAAATATAAAAGAATTAAGGAAGAAATAGACTTGGTAACGAAACAACCCTTATATCATCATCTACGATCCTATTTAATTATACTTGAACTAATTCTTATTTACAAGTCAATTCGTCGCTCAATTGCCTTCATTACAGACATATATGGTTAATTGGTTATTTAAAAGTAGGATGTGAGAATATTTTGTGTATATTCTTTACCATTTTCAAATATATATGTTGGTACGATATACAAGATAAATCGATAATACGATTAAATCTAGATATAGAACCATACCTAAAGTTATTACACTAATTTGGACTATTTGGAAATCCAGGATGATAGCAATTAAGAGGTTTCAAGATATCTAACGAATGTCATTCTAGAATGCATATCGACTCTTTAGACTTCCCAAAAGCTAGTTCTTCACCAGTCCACCACCTATCCAAGCAATGTATTGTGGTCACCCCTCGATAGTTCTGTTGTTATTGCAAGAATAGCTATTCAAGTTCATAAAACTAACCTTATAGCATATTCAAGTTCATAAAACTAACCTTATAGCATATTCAAGTATATAAGAAATTATTTTGTCAAAAAAAAAAGTATATAAGAAATTATAAATTGTTATATTAATAGAATTGTTTCAGAATAAATGTAGTATCCAAATCAAGTTTTCGATCATAATTTACATTAGTATAATTAAAGTTATAATTAATTAAACATAAAAATATTGGTGACCACACAAAATGAAAGTGAGTAATATTAAAAAGAAGAGATTGGAGAGAGTACTTAATTAATCATTGATAGAAATTAACATTATATAATTAGTATACATTGATTGTTTTGTTTGTGCACATGTTTAAATTAGCATGTACACTATATATCTAATATACATTGTTTGGGTGCACATGTTTAATTTATCATGAATATAATTAGTAGCTTTAACTCGTAGGGTATTGTACTACCTCCATTCCTAAAATTTGACATGATTTGACTTTTAGGACAACTTGACTATTTGTTTTTGCTATTGTATAAAATAGAATAAGATATTAATTAGATGTTGATTTTGTAGGGATT